AAGGCTCCACACAGGGGCACCTGGCCTTTGCCCCTACCGTCCTCTGCCAGGCACGGGCTGAGCTGGCCGGCGGCCGTGGTGGTGACGCGCTTGAGGGATGCCGGGCCCATGCCCCCCCTGAGCTGGCCGGCGGCCGTGGTGGTGACGCGCTTGAGGGATGCCGGGCCCACGCCCCTCCCTGCCCCAGGCCCCTCCCCAGACTGCAGTCTTCACAGTCCCTTGCAGCAGAGGGTCAGGGATGGGACCCGACCCAGAAAGTCCCAGGGACTCCCCAGTGGGAACGCTCACAGTGAGCTCCCTGGAGCTGAGCTCTGCCTAAGCAGGAAGGAGGCAAGGGTGAGGTGGCTGCTGGCTGTGCAGCGACCCCGGGCCTGGCCTGGGAAAACTCCAAATGGACACTCACAAACTTCTGCCGCATCTTTGTGACAGCTAGTCCACGTCTCCTGGGGGGAGAAGGAAGAAAAGCACTGGCTCGACTTGCCTCAGCAGCAGCTGCTGTTGAGTATGTAATTAACACACACACACACACACACACACACACACACACACACACACGAGGCCCGAATACTGCAACACTGCAATAGCCCCTTCAACAGTTTCCCAAAAGAGTGTTAAAATCTATTCAATTTACTAATTACACATTCTTGCCATAAAGAAAGAAATGGCTGCAATTCCTGAGCCTCAGCAGGTCCCTTAGAATGTTTAGAATATTAGAATATTACCACTGTAATGCCTATTGTCAGCGTGGGTGGGTGTCAGAAACAATCACCCGAGGTATTGAGTCAACATATTTTAAGATTCTTTTATGGAACGTGTGTTTTTTTAATGCAAATTCAGTAATTGCTAAATTGCCAAGTGGTGAGAATGTGATATTGATCCTGGCTGTGATTGCAAAGCTGTCGCGCGTGGCCTTCTGCAGAAGGACTGTGTGCGGTGCTCTGAACTCCACCTTTCGGGGGGCCTCCGTAGCTCCCAGTGTGAAGCTGGGTGGGGCTCCTCTGCTAATGGAAGCCCCCTGGAGGAGTGTGGGGAGGGGGCACCTCAGGCCTCCTCTCCTCACACCCATCCTCTGAGGGGCTCTGCTTCAGTCTTCAGTGTCACGGGAGCAACTGGGAGTGAGGCAGCAGATTCGCTAAGAAAAGTGGCAATTATCCAGCCATGCAGTGTGGAGCTTAGGGCCCGTGCCTCAGGGGCTCACATGGATTCTTGCAGAAAAAGGAAGGAGCAGGCTTTGGTTGAGTGCTTTCTGTGCCCTAGGGGCTGCAATAGCATTTGCATGAGCATTAGCTCGACCCCCCTGCCACCGTAATCCTATCATTAGCTCTTCTTGCTGGCTGAAGAAACTGAGGCTCAGAGAATGACTTGCCAAAGAGCACCGAGCTGGAATTAGAGCCGGAGCCAGTCCGCAGGCCAGCCCGGACCACCGGCAACCCCGAGCGGGTCCGCAGGCCAGCCCTGACCACGGGCAACCCTGAGCCGGTCCGCAGGTCAGCCCTGATCACGAGCCTGACCACTGGCAACCCCGAGCCGGTCCACAGGCCATCCCTGACCACCGGCAACCCCGAGCCGAGGCCCTTCCTCGCCATGGCCCTGCTTGGCTCCCAAGCCACCCATCATTTTCATGGTTTTGATGCTAATGCTTATCCTTTATTATTTTTTTGTATTTGAAAAGTTACTTGTTTTTAGTTGTGCAGATTTATGGTGTATATGAGAAATGTCGTTCCATTTATCTAATGTGTAGTGGTCAAGCCAGGGTATTTCGGGTGATCAAAAGCTCAGGTAACAAAAACTGAAACAGGTGTATGAGCCAACATTAAACCAAAGGGCTTCTGCACAGCAAAGGGAACAATAGGGCAAAGAGGGAACTGGTTGAATGGGAGAAAATTATTTGCAAACTATTTATCTGGCTCGGGACTGATGTCCTGAAGGTACAAAGAAATCAAACAACAAGAAGAAAAATAATCCCACTAAAAAGTGGACAAAAATTCTGAACAGACACTTCTCAAAAGCAGACAGACATGTGGCCAACAGGTCTATGAAAAAAATTCTCATCATCACTAAGTATCAGAGAGATGCAAATCAAAACCACAATGAGATACCATCTTACCCCAGTCAGAATGGCTGTTACCAAAAAGACAAACAATAACAGATGTTAGCGAGGATTTGGAGAAAAGGGAATCGTAGACGCCGCTGGTGGCGATGCAAGTACAACCTTGATGGAAAACAGCGTGGAGAGCTCCCAAAACACGAAAATCAGAACTACCGTTCGATCCAGCAATCCCACTACTGGGGATCTGCCCAGAGGAAAAGGAATCAACGTCAAAGGGATTCCTGCACAAGCGTGTCTATTGCAGCCCTGTCCACAACAGCGAAGATGTGGAGTCTACCAGTGCTCATTCTCAGGGATTGCTGGCGTGCTGGGGCCCTGGCTCAGAGAGAGCCACGTGAAGAGCTCAGAGAAAGGAAATTGTGGGCCCAGGGAGGTGGGGGGCTCAGTCTGGCACCCCATGTGTCTAATGTCAGTCCGGACTGACCTGTGGTTCAGTCCCAGCCTCTCCCATCCTCTGCGCTGGGCAGCGTCCATCCTTCCCCTGCCCTGGGAGATGCCCCAGCCTGACTCTCCTCTTCCTGCTTTTTACACCTCGTGTGTGCTGTTTGTCGACTGACCCTCCTCGGAGAAGGGGTCTGAGACCACCCTGTCCACAGCCCCCAGCAACTGGCACTGTTCCCAGTGCGTAAGAGCTGCCCCACTTGGCTGCTGGGTGACAGCAGAGGACGCAGCCATCAGAGCAAACAGGCAAACGGAACGGAAGCCTCAAGGGCACTCACTGCCTGTGCCTTTGGAGGCTGCGATCTCAGTCTTTCTGAACTCACTGAGAGAACACTGAGGGAATTAGTGTTAAGGAATAACTGCATTTCAAAACTGCATCAACTTTTGAGATACCACAAGATTCCAACTCCATAGCCAGGCCCACCCCTGCCAGGGCGTGGGGCGCTGAGCAGAGCCTGGCCCCTGCACCTCCACCCACCGCCCGGGGGGCAGTGCCTAGAGGTCCGTCCCAGACGGAGGCGCTTCAGGCCTCCGGCGTCTGCTGATCTGCCCTGGGTGTGATTTCCACCAGCCCACAGTGTTCATCTCTGCCTTCGTACTCTGCCGACGATCTGGCCCTTACCACCAGGCTCTCCACAGGGCAAGCCCTTGACTCTGACGTTTTTGCAGAAGATCCCAGTTTTCAGAGTCAGAGGTCAAATCACAGGCAGGAGTTAGGCAGAAACAGGTCCGTTTACTTTTTCTCTTTGACTTATATTTAAGTCTGTCTTTTTTTTTTTTTCTTTTTGACAGTTTTGCTCCTGTTGCCCAGGCTGGAGAGCAGTGACGCGATCTCCGCTCACCGCAACCTCCACCTCCCAGGTTCAAGTGATTCTCCTGCCTCAGCCTCCCAAGTAGCTGGGATTACAGGCACCTGCCACCACGCCCGGCTAATTCTGTATTTTTAGTAGAGACGGGGTTTCTCCATGTTGGTCAGGCTGGTCTCAAACTCCCAACTTCAGGTGATCCACCCGCCTCGGCCTCCCAAAGTGCTGGGATTACAGGCATGAGCCATCGCACCCGGCCAAGTCTGTCTTTTAATTACAAGTGCCACACAAGCTTGTAACACATTTAAACAATAAAAAGGTAAAGGACATGGAGAGTGGTGGTCCCTGTCCGGGTCCCTGCCACTCACACGTCAAACGCCCTCCCGGGCGGCGCTGTCACCCTCTGCCAACGCTCTCGATTGGCTCCACGGGTCATTTTCTAAAAGCCCCTCCTCTGGCCTCTCTCTCAGTGTCCTTTGAGCTCATGCCCCTGGCTCACGGCTGCACGGGGCGACATGCGTGGCCTCACTACTCTCTCATGCATTAGGCACCATCTACTTACAATTCTTAGCTGAGTCCTTGTGGCGTCAGTGTGGAGGTGCCTCAGCCTGCACAAGCGCAGAGCTGCCTGGAGGAGGCAGGGTTGTGACTGAGACCATCAGAATGGGCAGGAGGCAGATGGCGACCTTTGCCACACCACGAACGTGGCCTTGCTGGGCCGGGGAGCTCTCTGCCCTGCGAGCCCCCGTCTAGTGCAGGGATGTGGAGCTGAGATGCTCTTGGTGATGCATCAGGAGCTGGTGCTGGGTCCACGAGGGCCCTCTCCACGCCTGGGCCGGCAGGGCCCGCACCAGCAGCTGGTGTCCATTCTGACGAGGGGGTTGCTAAGCACACTGGATACCAGCCACACAGCCATCGAGGCTCTGCAGAGACGACACACAGCCGTGAAGGGCTCCAGAGAGCTTTGGTGGAGCTGGCCTTCGGGAAGAAGCAGAGAGGAAGGGTGCCACCCGTGGGGTGCTGGCTCATGGCCCGCCAGGCTGGTGCAGCCTGCTGCAGTGGTGTCCTTCGATGTCAAGCCCCCACCCCGTGGTAACCAGCTCCTGGGGGGAAAGGCCACAGGGACACAGATGTGGGGCAGCAGAGCACATGTGGTGTCGGTGGTCAGAGGGCTCTGGCCACAAGGTTCATGTTGGCAGATTGTGACAGCCAGCCTGGGTCAGAGCCCGCACTGAGGGCTTCGAACTCCCACTGGAGCTTCTGGTGTCGGAAGGGTGGTGGTGAGGTGTGGTTAGGAAGATCGGGAGGGCAGGAATTGGAAGGGCAGCTTGAAGGGAAGAAATGTGGCTGCAGCCCTTTGCTGTGTGTCCTGAGGGAGGCGCTGCCTGCTGCCCACGTGTCAGGAAACACTCAGTCAGGAGAATCCGACCAGGAGAATTCCTTTCACCAGAGTTTGTATCAGGTGGGTTCTCAGAATCAGAGATGCCAACGGTAAACCCACTTCCCTAGTTCTAGGGCCCTTAAACTCACTTCACGCTGAAGCCATTCTGTAATAGATAGCTCCCATAACAGATAGCTCCTGTAATAGATAGCTCCCATAATAGAAAACTTCTGTAATAGATAACTTCCCTGTCTTTCCCCAGCGAATGCAGCCTACGCGACCCACCGGTTCTATCCTGCTGACATGGATTGTGTTGTGGGAAGAACGTTGACTGGCAGCAGGTAACTCTAATAGGCGGGTCCTCTCTGGGCCACAGCAGAGTGAGACATCCTTGGTCACACACCCAAACTGAAGTCCTGGTGTGCACTGTGAGCTGGAGGAGACACAGGCCTTAGCTCCAGTCGGCAGGATTAAGCTGTGCTGTGATGGGCTGAGGCATAAGCTACCGGGAAATCCAGTAAAGGATGTTTCTCTGCCTTTTAAATTTTTAAATATGAACAAGGGACATAAAGTCCGTGTTTGTTTCTGAATTGTAGTGTGTTTTCTCCAGGAATTAATTCAAGGAGTAAAAATCTTCCACCCAGACATATGTCAAAATATCAGTAAGGAAGGAAAGGTCATATTCTGCTTCAGGAACTTTGAAAACGCGTCCCAAACTATAGCTTAACAGGCTTCACAGCGCAGCAGCTCAGCTCAGACTCCGCACACCACCCTTGGGTCTGGCCAAGGACGTGTGGGGTAGCTGACAATGCCGTGATTCCACCAATGGCAAATCCACCTGCTCCTGGCGCAGCTGTTTACTGGCTTGGCTGAACTGTTTGCGTGAAACCAAATAGCGAACGTGTTACAATTGAGTCCCACTTGCAGGCGCGACGGCGACTTCACCAGCACCGTCCGGAAGGCGTCTCCACACTCCTGTTCGGGGCCTGCTGTCAGAGAGGGCGAAGACCAGCGGGAAGGCTGTTTCCAAGGGGAGCGACCGGGGCGAGCGCAGAGCTTTGCCTTCGCAGTTCAGCACCGTGCCTGCGTAGGAGGGAGGGTGGGACACAGGCTGTCTTCCCTCCAGGCTCTGACTTTCATTAAAAAAACAAACAACACTCACAGGTTTCCTTTCTCAGAAGCAAGGTCTTGATACAGAAGTGTCTCTCCTGGTCTGCGTTCCTGGAGGCCCCAGCAGCTGGCCCCACTCTCCTTCTCACAGGGGACTTCCGGGCCCAGCAGAGGCTTCACCTCAGCCCACAGATCTCACTCTTGTTTTCAGGAGCACCGGGGGTCCCACAGGGGCAGGGCAGCAGGTGGGCAGAGCAACGGGCTCACCTTCCCACAGCCGGGCTGCAGTGGCCTTGCAGCAAAGCAACAAGCAGCAGACACCTCTGGAGCTGCACGAAGGGCACAGCACAGCCGCTGCCCGGAACCGGAGCACAGTCCAGAGGGGCTGCCGTCTCAGGATCCCGGGGAGTCGCCCCCGCTAGGGCTGTCTCAGGACCCCGGGGAGTCTCCCCCGCTGGGGCCGTCTCAGGAGCCCGGGGAGTCGCCCCCACTGGGGCTGTCTCAGGAGCCCGGGGAGTCGCCCCTGCTAGGGCGCACAGCCGCAGGTCTGGGCCCGGCTCAAAGGGCTTTCCATCAGGAACAGCTCAAGTGGGCTGCAGCCTCTCCGTGGCAGGGAGGGCGTGAGGCCGTGGGGGTCAAGGAGGATGCGGTGTGAGGTCCCTGACTCAGCCCCGAGCTGCACCCAGGAAGGCACGCGGCAGCCGGGGCTGAGGGGACAGGGTCGAGGGCGGACTGTGGACAAACCTGGCACGGACGGCAACATGGTGGGCGTCGTGAGGCAGGGCCATGCCAGGAGAAAAACCAGGGAGCCAGGGAGACCTCGTCTGAAGAAGCTGTCAGGGAAGGTGACTTGAAACTTTGCATTCTCCCTTTGGCTTTGATGACAGGAAACAACTTTACCTGTTGAGCTGGTGCCTTTTCTGAAAGCGAGTTCTCAAAGCCCTTCCAAGTGTGTTCTGCCACCTGGACTGAGGCTTCTGCCCCAGCTTGGACAGCCAGGCATCGTTAGCAGGGATATTAATGTTTTATCAGGGCTGTTCTATGAGAGGCCGGGCGCCAGGTGTCCTCCAGACTAGACCCACCTGTGGGACTCAGCGCTCCAGCCCCTGCTCCTAAGAAGCAAGTCTGAAGAGGGCCGTTCTGCAAGGCAGTGGCAGAGGCCTTGGCAGGAACCCCTGAACCTGCCCAGTGGAGAGGCTGAGCTGTGTCAAGAGGGTGGCGGGGCTGCTCCTCCACTGTGCGTCCTCGCTGACCGAGGGTGTGTTTCACAGCAGTGACGGGTGCCGACTGACTGAGGGTGTTTTACAGCAGTGATGGGTGCCGACTGACCCACTGACCGAGGATGTTTCACAGCAGTGACGGGCGCTGACTGACCAAGGGTGTTTTACAGCAGTGATGGGTGCCGACTGACCCACTGACCGAGGATGTTTCACAGTGGTGACGGGCGCTGACTGACTGAGGATGTTTCACAGTGGTGACGAGTGCTGACTGACCGAGGATGTTTCACAGCGGTGCCGGGTGCCGACTGACCCACTGACCGAGGATGTTTCACAGCGGTGACGAGTGCTGACTGACCGAGGGTATTTCACAGTGGTGACGAGTGCTGACTGACCGAGGATGTTTCACAGCGGTGCCGGGTGCCGACTGACCAACTGACCGAGGATGTTTCACAGCGGTGAACGTCCTGAAGACAGAAATGGAAATTCCCTCAGAACATCTCCGTTGTCTGGGCTCTCCCATCTTCACAGTAACACTCCAGGATGGTCTGTAGTCAAGAGCGGGCCGGGTTGCCATGGTTCAGGTCTGCAGTCACTCCCTGAGCTGGAAAAGCCCCTGTGGATTCTGGAGGTCACACCTGCTCAAGCCCGTTCCTCCACTCTGACAGTGGTGACCCTGGGAGGTGGCCCTGGGAGTCAGACTCTCAAGGGCAGAGTCAGGGTGAGAAGCTCCGAACTTTGAGGGAGAATCTGTGCCTGCTCTGCTCCGCAGGGCTGAGCACACCCCGGGGCCTAATGAGAAACGCCCTTGACAGGTGAATGATGAAGGAGGAATCACAAACCAGCTAATGGCCGTGTGCTGTGGGAGCCTTTTCCAAACTCTAGACCTGGTCTACTGTTGACGGCCACTTCCAAGCTTCTGTGGCCCTGCCTCTGCGAGTAACCACACGTACGCTGTTTCACGTCTGCAGGATCGTATCCGAAGAATAAATTCACAGGAATAGAATTGTTCACATGCATTTGCCATCTGATGGATGTGGCCACTTTTCTGTTCTTGGGAAGAGACGGGCTTTACGCAGCCTTCACAGCGCACGAGACACTGACTGCCCACACCCTGGTCCTGGGCAGGGCTTTGTGAGCAGGTTGAGCATTTTTTTCATGTAAACTGCCTTATATTTTGTTTTCTGTGAACTCAGTTGAAATCCTTTGCTTCTTTTTACTTATTGACTTACTGGTCTCTTTCTTATTGATTTAAATATTTGGAAATGACTTTCTGGTATTAATTGCAAATTTATTTTTCAGCTTGTTATTCTCTTTTGATTGGCTCGTGGTGGTGTTTCGTTCTAGGCAGAAGTTTTTCATTTTTGTGTCATCATGTTTCTTAGCATTATTATGGCTTCTGGGTTTCGTCTTGTGTTTAGATCTTCCATACTCCAACGTCATAAAAAATACTCCCATGGTCTCCTCTTTGCTTCTTTTCTTCTTCTTTTTTTTTCTTTCTGGCAGTTACACCTTTGCTCTGTTTGGAATTAATTTTGGTGTAGAACCAACTTTATGGTTTTTCCAGGAGACTACCTACTCCACGTCATTATAGGAATATCCTGTTTCCCCTCATGATTTAAATGTCTTTATCATACAATCTGCAGTATTTTGAAGTCTATTTCTACACTTTCTAATTATTTATTTGCCCGTAACATTTTTAAGTGGACATAGTTTGAAATGGAATTTTATAACATGTTTTCATATCTGATCGTAATAGTTTTCTCTATTATTTGCTTTCTCTTTTAGGTTTGTCTTATCTATTCTTAAATATTTCCTTACACACACTTAGATTTAGCCTGTCTGATTTTTTAAAGGTTAGCCTTTTAACTGGGATCCTATCATATGTGCAGAGACCAACTTTGCAAACTGAAGCCTATACACCTGCCTGGCTTCCGCCCCATCTGTGCGCGCCGCTCCGAGGCAGGGCCGATTTCCTGGTGTAGATCTTTCACATTTTTGCTAACCTTGTTGAATTACATTTTTGCACATTTTTTTCAATTGCTCCATCAGGGTTATCCAGATGTACAATAAAATAATCTGTAAGTAATCATCGTTTTCTCTGCTCCTTTCTCATTTCTGCACTTCCAGTTTCTTTGCCTTAATTGCACGGGATGTGCCTGCAAAGCAGTGAGAGAAGGCAGCCTGGAAACTCTGAGTGTCTTGTCTCCCTCACGGCTATGGGGCACGGTCAGGATGAGGCAGAGGTCATTTATCAGGTAAAAGAACTATTCATCACTTCCTGTTTTATCAGGAACATTTCAGTCTCTACTTCAAAACACAGAGGAGGAGGTTGACTTCCATCCACTGTTTGCCAGCATGTCTAGGGCTGGTCATACTACTTTTCTCTTTTGCTCTATTAAATGGTGATTGATATTAATAGACCCAACACTGAGCCACTGCTCCTTGCCCTGGGCAGCACAGCCCACACTGAGCCGTGGTGTGTGATTCTCAGCGTGCTGCTGGGCGTCGTTTGCTCTGTTTCACTGGGCTCTTTGCTTTGCTATTGACACTTTAGGTTGGTTGGTAGTTTTGGTTTTTTTGGGTTTTTTTGTTTTTTTTTTTTAACTGGTCTCTGGTGGCAATGTCATGCTGGCTTCAGAAAAAAATGTGGAAGCTTTCCTTCTATTTTCGTTTGGAGCAGTTTAAATCCTGTTGGAATAGATGGGAAATGGCACAACTGAACATTAACATTTTCCGTTCTTTATCCAAGTAACCTTGAAATGGGTCTTTTAATGTGTCTCTGTCAGAACTTAAAATATAAATCAGACATTACAAAGAAAGTTCAATCTTATTTCAGTCGAGATAATGAAGTCTAAGAGCTGGAGTTTGGTGAAAGCCCAAGGTAGAGTTGTCCTTAAATCCGTTTGGTGCCAACACACATTTGTCAGTTAATTCAAAGGTTGTTTGAAGGCCAGATTTTAATCTGACTTAGGCAACACTCTTGATGCTTACAAGCTGCCATGGTGAATGAT